GCATTTAAGCACCTATTATGAGCCAGGTGAGACAGCTAGGTGGCATAGTAGATAGAGTGCTGGACCTGGAGTCAAGAAGACCTGAATTCAAAACCAGCCTCAGACATTTATTAGCTGTGTGACCCTGGGAAAGTCGCTTAACCCTGTTTGCCTCAGCTTCTTTATCTGTAAAATGAGCTGCAGAAGGAGATAGCAAACCACTCCAGTATCTTTGCCAAGAAAATCCCAAATGGGGTCACAAAGAGTCAGATACTACTGAAACAACTGAACAAATGAGAGGCACTGTGCTAAGCACTTTACAAAATTATCTCATTTGATTCTCACTATAACCCTGGGAGGTAAGTGCTATTATTATCCCCATTTTACAAAACGAGTAAACTGAGGCAAACAGAGGTTAAGAGACTTGCCCAGGGTCACACAAATAATAAGTGTCCGAGACTAGATTTGAATTCAGGTCTTCCTGACTCAAGGTCCAGTGTCCATCCATTGTATCACATAGTTGCTAGTACAGATAAATAATACTGAAAGACAGAGCAAGGATCCCCAAAGGTCTTCACAGGCTAGAACACTGAGGCAAATCTAATAAGATAGAATTAAATAAGGATAAATATAATGTCTAACATCTAGGTTTTAAAAAAAATCAACATCATAAGCATGAGATGGGGGAAGGTATTGGCTAGACAGCAATCTGAGAAAAGATCTGGCCTGCTAGATCCCTATGAATTTACCCTGTGACTTAGCAGCCAAAAAAAGCTTAGATGATCTGGAAGATGAATTAAGGGGAGGAGGCACAGTGTCCAGGACTCACGGATGTGATAAGCCTTGCTTTTCTTTGCCTTAGTCAGACCCCACATGGAATATAAGGTTCACTTTTGGGTACTTAATTTTAGGAAGGCCATTAATAACCTTAAGAGGAGGGCTACAGGATGGTGAAGGGTCTTTTGTTCCAACCATGTGTGGAATACTTGAAAGAACTGGGGATGTCCGGCCTAAAGAAGACTTGGAGGTGGGGAACCATGACGGCTGTCGAGAGTGATGACATGTACGTGTGTGTGTGTGTGTGTGTGTGTGTGTGTATTAGATTGCTATTTTTGACCCCAAGGGCAGAGCTAAGCAAAAGGTATGGAAGCAACAGAGGCAGATTTGGTTTGAAGGCTGGAACAGTTTCCTAACAACTCGAGTTGGCCCCAAACCGAACTGGGCTGCCTTTGGAGGTGTCCATTCCCCTCCCTGGAGGTTTTCTGAGCAAAGTCTGCGTTTGCTGTAGAGGTGGATCCTTGTGGAAGTACAGGGTGGACTAGAGGTCTCTGAGGTCACTTTTAACCCAGAGATTCCACGGGTGCCTTTGTGAAGTCACATGTGAGGCGAGTACCTTGGCCGGGACTGAAGTATTATACCCCGATGCTGAGCAAACACCTGCTTATGTAGGACTAGCTTCTACCTGGCATGGATTTCTGTATTTTTCTAAAGTAACCCTTGGTATTGTACTGAATACGTAAATTAATTTAGGTAGTCACATCATTTTTATATTAGCACAGTCCAATCAGGAGCAATTTAATACTTCTCCACTTACTTGGGTCTGTCTTTATTTCTACATCTACCTGCCATGGAAAACAACAATAATAAAAAGTTTTCCTTAAATTCACTTATTCGAGCTATTTTACTTTAGCTTATTTCTTAGAAAGAGGCCAAGAATAGAGTAGTATTTAACCTAGTAATCTGTCAGAGGCAGCTAAGCGGCTCAGTGGCTAGAGAGTGCTGGGCCTGGAATCTAAAGGACCTGAGTTTGAAACTAGCCTCAGATACTTACTAGCTGTGTGATCCTGGGCAAGTCACTGAAACTTTGTTCGCCTTAGTTTCCTCATCTGTAAAATGTGGATAAAAGTACCTAGATAGATTTATCTATCTCTCTATTGATCACTTTCCAAATCTTAATATATGAAAATGGCAGCTGCTGAACTAACTGCACAAAAAATCCCCCTGTATACACGTCTCAAGGATCTGGAAGAACAGAGGTCAGAGGATGTGAAGTTGGAGGGAATGCTTGCGGCTAGTGATTTTTTTTTTAAATCACCACCTTCTTTTGAAGAAACATCTTCCCCTGCTCAAGAGATCTGTGGGCTGGGCTGTGCACTGTCTCTCTTTCTCAAAGAGATTAATCACGAACACCCAGTAGCATCTGCTGATGAAACTTAACTGCCTGAGAAAAAAAAATAATTCTCAAAGAGCTTGGGCCTATCTGAGGTCGAAATCAGGCTCTCACCCATCTTCTCTCCTCTGGGCACTTACCCTGTTGGCTCTATCACTGCTCATTCACTCAAAACCCATTAGCACCTACACCAGAAGGTGGACAGTGTGGAGGGAGAACGGTACAAATCCGACTGGCCAGCTGGCTGCTAATTAAGCTGCTCTAGCAAAGGGAGGGTGGGTGGGACTGCCGGCTAGCTTCCATGTCTCTCTTTCTTTCTCAATTCTGCCCCAAGTTTATTCATCAAGGAGAAGTGAGAGTCTCTGGTGCTTCATTTAGATACAAACTGACAAGGAGATTCCTACTCTTCTTTTTAAAATAAGGTGCGAGGTCTTTGTATGCCATTAAACTTATGTGGCTTCTTTTTAGGGAGGTATGTGGGACTTTAGAGCCTAAAATGGCTCAACCATAAGAGTTCTCCCCTTCCTAGTCCTGGGCTGGCCCTGCAGTGTTGGGGCTGCAGAGAAGAAGGTGGGTTTCCATCTGTGCATACATCTCCTCTTCCCACTGTGTATCCTCTACAGTTGCCACCAAGCTGGGCGAGGTGCAGGAGGGACCCCATCTGCACTGACCTGGTGAGAAACACCAGCCTGGATCTGATTCCATGGGAAGGCCCATTATGTGGAGGGTATGGACATTAGTAACCATGGTTACCTCCTCTGCCTCTCCCCCTGAGGCTCCCTGGGTCTAAATCACACCAATCTAGTCTAGATTTGCAGGGGTTATGGGTGGCCAATTTAAAGGAGAACACGGTTACTTAACCAGGACATGCAGCTCATACCCTGTTATTTATGCAACAGTATACACCAAATACTTTAAGTCTTTTAAAAATATTTCGGGTTGGAGGAAACAGCTCTAAATCCGTCTAACTATCCTGGGTACTTACTCTTAAAAACCACATCGTTCTTTGTCTGACAGCAGCCAACACAAAACACATACAGAATGAATTCTAACAATTCCTATTAGAAAAAGAAAGAGGAAAGCAGGCAAGAGGCATCATAGACTGGGCAGAGGGTTGACTTTATATGTAAATGGCAGCCGCGGCTGTTTATTATCTTAGCCTTGTAAATAAGGACATAGAATTTAGCAGCCCCAATTAAATGTATATGCATGTGTGTGTATGTGTGTGCGTGTGTGCATATTTGGAACAAAAGGGATGGAGAGAGAAAGAGAAAGAGGTGAGGAAAGGGGAGGGGAGAGGGAGTGCTTCAGAGACAGGAAGACTCAGATATAAGTTCTCTCTCTGACACATACTGGCTGGGTGAGCCTAAAAAGTCACTCTCTAACATTATAAATTCCAAAGAAGGTACCAATTTACAATGATAGGAGGAACTTTTCTGAGGAACTTCCAACACTCATGAAATAAAAGATTTAGTTTTTTAATAGTAAGTATGTATGTTGTGTATATATATATGTATATGTATTTTTATATATACACACATATATACAGATATACTTTTAATAATATATTACGTATAATTATGTTATATATAAATGCTAAAATGTATTTTATAATAACTTTCAATAATCAAAATATTAACTATATTTAAATCATAGGTCTGGTAGAATGTATATATATGTGTGTTTTATCGATCTATCTATCTCTCTCTATATAACACACACACACACTTATACTAGTACACACACACATTTATACCAGTATATTTATCCATCTATTCAAATCTCTGGTCTAGTAAAAAAAAAGTATATGCACACACATTTATACAAGTATAATAAATAAATATATTTAAATTTCATGTCTGGTAAAATAAAGAAGAGTTCCAAAGCTTTAATAGCTTAAAACAGCACTAATGCTTTTGGGATACCCTCCGTATATGTGTATGGGTGTATGTGTATGTACATATGTGTGTGTATATTATGTAGCATATTTTAAATACACTTATTCTTGCGAAGTGATGTGAAATATATATTATAAGAATAACTAGGCACATTCAAATCACAGGTCTGATAAGATATATAATATCTGTCTGTATCTCTGCTGTTGTGGTTGTTTAGATGTTTCAGTCATATCTGACTCTCCATGATCCCATTTGGGGTTTTCTTGGCAAAGATAGTGGAGTTGTTTGCCATTTCCTTCTCTAGCTCATTTTATAGATGAGAAAACGGAGGCAAACAAAGCTGACTTGCCCAAGGACACATAGCTAGTAAGTGTCTGAGGCCAGATTTGAACTCAGGAAAAGGGACCTTCCTGACTCCAGGCTGGTCATTCTATCCACTGTGCCACCTAGCTGCCAATATATAATCTTTATATATTGATTTAAATGTTTATTTAATATACTGATACCTAGCTATATGTGTATATAAACACATATACCTATGTATACATACACACTTGTATATATGTGTATACCTTATACATAACCATTATTTTAAAAATTGGACACATCCCAGAGTCTCCCTCATTCATTCTCCCTGATGGAAATGTACCAGTTGTTTAAAAAAAGTAACAAAAGCAATTTCTCTCTTTCCCTCTGACTCTTTGCCTGGGAGTGATTTAGACAAGTTACTACTTCCGAGGCTGAATTACCTGTCTAAACGTGGCCAGTGTCTTCAGTTACACCTTCAGAATCAGAATCATAATTGGTCGACTCCGCTCGACCCTCTGGTGCTGCTTGATTCCAGCTATCTGTACAGTCTGAGATGCCATCGTCCTCCCCAACCGTCACCTCTACCCAGTCCACAACATCAGACTCCTCATTCTCATCACTGCCATGACCATCCCGGCTGTTACCTTCAGATCTGTCCGAAGCGGCCTCTGTTGTCTTGCCCGGCAAGGAGTCTTTGGTCTTTTCGCAGCCCACTTTTGCCCTGGTCACCAGTTTGTCCAAATCCTCTTCCCTCAGCTTTTTGTGGTCCTTGAAATATTGCTGAAGCATCTCACCCCCATTCTTTGCACTTTCAGCGAGGTGTGGCGTTCCACACCTCAGGACGGACTCGTTACCGTGGCCATCCACAGCATGTTGCTGTTGGTACTGGTCGATCCATTTCAAGGTTCCAGTCTTTAGTGAACATCTGTTCTCTTTGAACCAACGCACAATCTCAGTTCGGACCAGACCAGTTTTTGCTGCTAACTGGTCATATTCCTGTGGGGTGGGCCACTGGGTTCTTGCAAATGTACTCTTCAGGAGGTGGATTTGTTCCTGGCTCTTCATCATTGCTGGGGAGGGGCTAGAGAGAGAACTGGCCAGCTGGGCGCTGGAAAGCTGGTCTATCCGAGATAAAGTACCATTGGGGACCACTGCTTCTTTGCTCTTTTTGCTAGATCCCATGGAGTCTAAGACAGCTTGCTCCATGCTGTCCCTAAGCTTTCTCCTCTCTGAAAACCAGGTATCAATTTCTCTCCTGCTCAGCTTAGTTTCTGATCTGAGCCGATCCAGCTCTCCTTGGGTGGGGAAAGAACTTTTCATGAAACTATCTTCCAGAACTTTGAGCTGACCCTGTGTTTTTTCTTTGAATTTTTGCGGGGCAAAGTCTGGGTACGCATGGTAGGAACGTCCATGCCGGGCAGCCGCGATGGCCAACTGGTCTTTGGCAAGGGACTCGCTGGTGATATGCACGATGCCCCTTTGGCTCCTATATCTGTGATCGCTGAACCATTTCTTGATGTCGCTCCTGGCGAGGCCGGTGACCTCGATGAGCCGGTAGACTTCCGCGTCATCAGGGAACTGACTCTGGAGGAAACTTGCTTTCAGTTCAGCTATCTGTTCTTTTGTCTTTTTCCGATCATTTGTCGTGGGCAGTATGGTGGGGGTTACCTTTGGTGGGGGCTCAGGAACCTGGGCAACGTGGGCCCGTTTGGGCTCTGGAGCTGCTTGGAGATTTGGTAAGGGTCTCTTCTGGCCATGACTGGTCACCCCCGCGACAGCAAGTGTGATGGGGGAGCAAGAAACTGTCGATCCATTAGTCACTTGGGTCAAAACAAGACTGGTCTGGCCAAGGATCTGGCAAGGTAAAGCAGTCTGGATGATAGGCTGGGACATCTTGGTGGATGCCAACTGAGCTGGTAACACAGTGATAGTCTGGGGGACTGACTGGATCGTCCCATTAAACATCTTCTTCCTCGCCTCTTCTACCTCTTCCGGAGACCAGCTTATACCGTGCTTCAAGCGCTGGGTGGCAAACCAGATTCTGATGTGCTCCTCGGGATGTTTGGAAGCGGCTGTCAACCATGACAGTTCTGCTTGTGTTGGGTAAGGGAACTTGTTGAAGGAGTTAATCATGGTGGCATTGGTGTCCAGGGCACAGTTATATTTGGTACTATTCAATGGGACAGGGACCTTGGGGACAAGATTAATATTTGGTGGTAGCTGTACAGAAGGCATCACGTGCCCTAGTGAGTCTTGGAGCAGTTCAATGCCATTAAGCCTCGCAAAAGCCTCGGCAGCCTCCGTCACCACTCGAGCGGTGGCATTCCCTTCCACGTGGTTATCAGAACCACTTTCTTCTGGTTTCCTAGGTGCCTTCTTGGCATCAGCTTTGGGTTTCCCCAGTTTCATGATAGGCGTCTTACTCATAGAGATCCCGGGGTCGCCGTCGCCGCTCCCCAGGTTGCCACCACTGACGGTCACGCCATGGTTGGATCCTTCGATGGACTGTTCTAAAACCGTTTGGTTATTGCGTTTAATCAACTTGAGCTTGAAGTTTGTCTCCCCAGGGTGGAACTTGGCATTGTGGTCGGACAAGGAATCATACTTTTTGGTGGTGAAGTTACACTCTGCACATACGTAGAGTGGGTTGAGGATCACGTTGGGATGCTGCATGTCCACGTGCTCCGTGAACTCGTTCAGGTTCTGTGTAGAGTATGGGCAGTATTTACATTCGTAACCCCCCTGCAGTTTTTTGGATTGGTTCTCTGTTGCTGACTTCACCTCCATCAGTTCACTTTCTTTGGAAGAACTCTCAGGCTCTGTGGTCCAAGCATCTTTGCCAGAGTCAGGCTGGGGAACTCCAACTTCTTTGTCTTTGCCTCTGTCAACATCCTCGGGCACTTCTTGTTCTACGACTTGAGACGTCCGCACCATACACGGAGTTGTTGATTTTCTCTTGCTTGCCATAGTATCTGTCTGGTGTGCAATGTCTTATTTTATTTAGTTTTTTTTGGGGGGGGACAGTAAAATGTGGGGAATGAATGATCCAGAAGGACTTTGCTTTTGAAATGGCTTTGGCTTCCTTCAAACGTTCAAGTCTGGTGTTTACGTTTTCAGAAGGATTTCAGCTCAGAAAATGGCTCCTGTCAACTTCATCCACTAAACACATCAGACCACATTATATCTGTGGGATAAGAACAGAGGCAGGGTCAGTTTCTCTTCATGGTGCATTTACATTTTTTAAAAAATGAATAAGCATTTATCTGAGTTGTTTTCATAACCCATCCCAACTACCACCTCAACAACTAGGTAACCACAAAAAAAGGTTTGGGGGAGTGGGGATTCCAACCCAGAATAATGCATTTTGTGGGAGGAAAGGAGAAAACAGGTCCAAAGTGAGGAACAGGGACCCCAGTAATCATTCCACGGCTCAGGAGAAGGGAGGACAGAAAAGGAGAGAGGTGTCGAATGCTTCCCTTGGGAAGGATGGTGTGGGGGATGCTGGGGAAGGAGGGAAGTGTCGGGTGAACCCAAAGATCTCCACTCTTGTGTGCCCGACGATTCCATCTGGTTCAAGAGGGCAGAAGCAGGAACAAGCAATGGTGGCCAAAAGGTAAGTGCAGCTCTGATGCCGGTGAGATTTTCACAATCAGAGCTACCCTAAAGTGGAAGGGAGGAGTGGGAACTCTCAGCGTACATCTTCAGCGCTGAACCTGCATGACGGACCATTGGATATGAGACAGGGGGAACTCCTCTTGGGGAGGAGGTGGATTACGTGGCAGCTGGGTCCCTTGTGATTCTCCACTCCTGTAACTAACATGAGACATTAGCTTTGCACCACTGGCCAGTGGGAAGAGCACCGGACAGTCAGAAGGCCTAAAGTCACGTTCAGGCATCCAGGCCCCCTTAGAAAAGTCACTCAAGATTCCTGGGCCTCATCTTTCTCACCTGCACATCAGGGGTAATAATAAGTTGTACAACCTAGCACACAAGATCCTGCTTTGTCTTGGTCTAGACGCGATTTCTCCTCTGTAATGTACGAAGGTGTCTGAGGACACTAACAAGTTAGATGATTTGTCAGGACTCGAACATGGGTTTTCGTGACTCCAAGGCCAGCCCCTATGCCCCACTGTCTCACTGGGTTGTTGTGGCAGCTAGGTGGTATGATGGAGCTGGACTCAGAAAGATCCAAGTTCAAATCCAGCCTTAGACACTTCCTAGCAGTGTGGCCCTGAGCAAGTCACTTAAGCTCTGTCTTAATTTCTTCCTCTGTGAAATAGGGACAGTAATAGCAGCTACCTCACAGGGCTGTTATCAATAAAAATAAGATAACATAGGTAAAGTACTTTGCAAACTTTGAAGTACTAGATAAATGTTAGCTATTATTGTAGGGATGCAGTGAGCTAATGCATGCAAATGCATTTTGTAAACTGCAAAGCCCTGTAGAAATTCCAGCTATTATGCTATTTTGACAGCTATTATGTCAGACAAGCTAGGTGGCACTGTGGACAGAGCGCTGGAGTCAGGGAGAATGGAGTTCAAATTTGGCCTTAGTCACTTCCTAGCTGTGTGACTCTCAGCAAGTCACTTATCCGCTCTCTGCCTCAATTTCCTCATCTGTAAAATGGGGATAACAACAGCAGCTACACCTTGCAGGGTTGTTGTGAGGATCACACGAGATAGTATTTTTAGAAAGAGCTTAGCACAGTGCCTGGTAATCAGTAGGTGATTAATAAATGCTTGTTCCCTCCCTTCCTCCATTTTGAGCATTCTTTCGAATGGCTGGAAATAGCTTTCTGCTTCAAGTCTTTCCTGACTCTGATCCATCTACCACTCTGCTGCCAAAGGGATTTTCCTAAAGCAGAAATCTAACCATATGACACCCCTACTTAATAAATTCCAGTCGTTCCCTTTGGGAATAAATATAAAGCTCTTTACAATGTGGCTCCAACACTGTCTTTCCAGCCTTTTGTATACTCCCTGTGGTCTAGCTAAAGGGGCCTTGCCATTTCCATTCGCAGCAATGTAATTCCTACCGCCATCCCTTTGCACGGGCCCTCCTCCATGCCTGGAATGCCCTCCCTTCTCACGTCTATCTCTGAGAATCCCTAGCTTCCTTCAAGGCTTAGCTCACACACCATCTTAAACAGGAGGCCTTTCTGGATCCTGCCTGTTCTCTTCCCCTCCCCCCAACTCTATTTTTAGACAGGTGGTGGCACAGTGGATAGAGTGCTAGGCTTGGGGTCAGCTAGGTTTATGTCCAAATCCCGTCTCACACAGGCTGTGTGACTCTGGGCCAGTGACTCGGCTTCTCTCAGCCTCGGTTTCCTCATCTATAAAATGGGGACAATAATAGTACCTTCCTCTCAGGGTTGCTGCAACTATCAAATGATGTAACGTATATAAAAGCACTCATATGTTGTTATTCAGTTCTCATTTGTTGTGTCCAACTCTTTGTGATCCATTTGGGGTTTTCCTGGCAAAGATATTGGAGTGATTTGCCATTTCCTTCTCCAGATCATTTGACAGATGAGGAAATTGAGGCAAACAGGGTAAAATGACTTGTCTAGGGTCACACAGCTGCTAGTAAGTGTCTGAGGCTGGATTTGAACTCAGGAAAATGTGTCTCCCTGACATCAGGCGTGGCGCGCTCTATCCACTGCACCACCACCTAACACACAGGATGTGCTTTGGAAAAGCTTGCTGATTGGTTGATCCTAGAAGTTATGCAAAGACACAATGTATATGGCCTCAGGGCCTTTGAGGCAAACCACTTATTTAGTTCAGGTATAGACTGGTCAATGGATGAAACAATAAAGAATTACCTAACAAGATACTTCAGTCACATTAAACCTGTGTTCACTGAATCACTCTTTGAACTTTGGGCCAGACTTGCTAGCGTCTCTAAATTAGGTTAATAGCAAACTGTGTACTGACAGAAAAAAAAAAACACCAAACTTTCACTTAAATTAGACACCTAATTGTTTCTCATGTGCTCTTTCAGTGGCTGGTGAAATCAGTCCCATTCCTGTGACTGACCACTGCCTCTCACGGATCATAGGACCTGCAGGAAAGATAACTGGGGAATTAGATGAGGTTGGAGGAAAAACACAAAATGCAAAACGTCGTATGTGGCCAAAATGGATATATGCATGTGCTTGTTTGTTTTTCCCTCTGCTTCCTCACCTAGGAATCCAGGCACTATCTTTCACTGGGAGATGCCTTCTACTCTACTGAGACGTCTTCAGTAGTCACATCAAATCTGCCCTGACTCCTGGACAGTTGACATTTCTAATTTCAATCCACGCATTTCTTTCATTCTGGGCAGAGGAGTGGAAAGTAGAGGGTTGTGACAAGAATCCAGAGAGGATCATAGTCCACGGGAAGGAACCGGAGTCAGGCCTTGGTTCAAATCCCACTGAGATTTACTACCAGTGTGACTTTGGGCAGATCACTTTACTGTTCTGGGCTTTTGTTTCCTCATCTGTAAAACCAAGGGGTTGGGATATGTGGCGTCCGAGCTTCCTTCCACCTCTAGATCTATGATCCAATCTATGATCTAAGATCAATAAATGGAAGTTCTAGGGAGCCAGGGTTTGGGTCAACATTTGGAAGAATTTCTTAATGATTTTTCCTAACGTTGTCTCATGTGGCAGTACATTCCCTATTGCTAGAAATATTCACGTAGGAGCTAGAAAAGCCTTTTTGGGAAACTGTAATGAGAATTCATGCATTAAGTAAGGGCTGTACTAAATGACTTCAGGGGTCCCCCTTCCAACTGTGATTCTGTGATTTCAGGGCACCGTTCCCCAGAGACACATCCTGGGACCATTCTGTATCGTCAGAGAGGAGACAGGTACCAAAAATGGTGCTTCTCCAACTTGTTTGTTGAGGGACTGAACTTTCCCAACTCGGTGTTCCTTCCCCTTTTGTTAGGTGAAAGAAGAATGGGAGTAAAGTTAGGGCCTAGGAAGATAAGACAGTGATGAAGTTCCATAATGACATGCACATGAGTTCAAAAGATCAACCATACAAGTATAGGGTGGAGGAGGGACAGTAACAGAACAGCTAAAAACAGTGGCCATAATCTCATGATGCATTAATTAGTGCCCAGGACAAGACAGGAAGGCAACAGTCTCACCACTCTCCACCACGGGCAGAACACTCCTTGAAGGTTTCAGAGGTTCAATTCCGGATGTGACTATTTTAGAAAAACCATCAGAACAGTAGAGAAGGGACAGGGACTTGAGATCATGTCATATCCTAACCAGTTGATCTAATTAGGTATATTTATCCAACAGAAGTCATTTTTTTTTTTTAGAGTAGGAGATATAACAGTTGTCTTCAGGTATCTGAAGGGCTGTAAGGTAGAAGACAGACTTGTTGAGTCCTGTTTTGCCCCAGAAGGCTGAAACAGGAGCAATGGTTGGGAGCTGTAGAGCAGTACAATGTAGGAAAAGACTTCCCAACAATTCAGGGTTGGCTGTCTAAAAGTATAATGTGATGCTGCAGAAGTCATGGGTTCACTGTTACTGGAGGAGGTCTTTAGGAAGAGGTAGATGACCACTAGTGGGGTATTCTTAACCTGGGGCCTGGGAACTTAAGAAAATATTCCGATAACTGCATTTTAATATAATTTAGGATTTAATATTTAAATTTGGTCCTATGAGGACAAATTTAAAATAATTAATTTAATATAACTGGTTTCTTTTATAATCCTACGTATTTTATTTTATACATTTAACAACATTATTCTGAAAAGGGGTCCACAGGTTTCACCAGGCTGCCAAGGTATGACCCAAAAATGCTCGACAGCCCCTTTTGTAGAGGGGATTCTGTTTAGGAGCGGGTTGGACCAGGCACCTTACAATGTCCCTCCCAACTCGGAGGTTCTGTGATTCTATTAATGAAATACCAAACCAGGCACATGGATGAGGTCCTCAACAAGTCCTAAATTAAAGCCGTCATGGCATTATCTGGCTCTGCTGAAGCTATTTTGGCCAGCAAACTGCTGAGTTATTTTAAAATTAATTCTGGGAGTTGTTTATTACTATTTTGGACATTTATCCTGTCAGTTTAACCCATTCCCTCTTCCTCACCAAATTAAATTTCAAAATGTTGACTTGTAAAATGGTATAACCGAGTCTTTCCTAAGTAACCCCTTCTCCATCCCTGTCCCTTCAG